AGCAGGCTCTTGTTTGCGCCTCACCGGCACTGCTGTAGTACGTGTCAGGTTGGTGTTCACTCACACCGGTGTGCCCGTCGCAGTGCCGCGATTTCTCACCTGCGGGGGAGGACTGCGGCGAGTACAGGGGCAGACCCTGCAAGGACGGCCTCTTCTGATGCTCTGGCTTTGGATCTAGCGCTGCCGCAGAGCACAGGGAGTGAGTCGCAGAACTCAGCCGTTGCAGATGCAGCAGCAGGCATGGGGGACACGGCAAGCTTGGCGCAGCAGGGTGAGCACGAAGATCAGCAGCGGCGGCAGTCGCAGCGTGAGAGCTGGCTCGAGGAGCTTGACTAGACATGTCAAGCATGCTTTGTTACTATAGGCAGCTTTGACTGGGAAAAACATAGACAGGAAGTTCGTGCCTCATATGGTCTTTTGCAGAATTCACGTGTTGCAGTTCCGTGTAGTGCAGGGTCCTGCTTTTGAAACCTTCTTTCACGCCGCAGCTTTTTGAGCTTCTGTGTGGAAGTCTTAGACTGTGTAGGTCACCTGGAAGCCTCCAAGCCATGGAGGACAAAAGCAAGGGTGCGGAGGCTGGATCTTTTTACTCCTGCACCCTATATATACCCCTAAACCTTAAAAAAAAATGAATCCCGAATGCTTCTCTAAACCCATATATAGGCCACATAACTCTCCACCAGAAACCTAAACCTTAAACCCATAAGACCCGAGCAGGTGACTTCCGCCTCGGACTCGGACTCTGCGGAGGAGTCGCAGCCTGCGCCAGCCCCGCCTGCGCAGGCAGACGCCGAGCCCTCCGCAGCTGCCAGAGTCTCGCCTTTCGAGGCAAAAGCTGAGGCGCCCCCTGCTCCGACCGGCCGTGCGAAGCCGGAGGCTGAGCGCACGGACCGCCGGCCGGAGGCTGAGCGTAAGGACCGCCGCCGCGGGAGAAGTCACGACAGGGGGCGGCGTCGCCGCCGAAGCGAGGAGAAGAAAAAAGAACGAAAGCGGTCGCGTGAGGGCCACAAAAAAAGGGACCGCGGAAAGGAGAGACCGCGCACGCCCTCCGGGACGCCACCAGCGAGACGAGCGGAGAAGCTCCGCAAGCAGCTGGAGAGCCGCTGCGGGCAAGAGGGTCAGCGCGTGGAGAAGCGAGGGCGCCTGGACAGCGTGGGAGCAGCTCCCATGCAGAGCGCCCTCGACCCACGAACCTCTGCCGCGGAAGCCCTGCACCGTGTGCGGACGGCACGTGAGTGACGACGACTTTGCGGTGCAGCAGCACTGCATGAGTGTCTTTCACCTCACCGCGCTGCTGCGCCAGCAGAAGGGTTGCAGTGAGGAGAAGGCCAAGGAGTTGGCCCAGGTCCGCAGTGAGGAGTTGTGGCGGTCCTTTTACGAGGACCAGGACAAGGCCTCCGCCACCTCTCCGAAGCCGAGGCCCACCCGGCGAGGGAGTCGTGCTGGAAGTGGCGGAGCGTCTTCAAGTGGTCGCTCCGGAGCGGCGCGTGCGAGCCAGGCGCAGCCAGCTGTGGAGGCTCCGGCTCCCAAGGTGCGCCTGACGCCTCGGCCAAAAACGCCACCGCGACCGGCGCAGACAGACGCACCACCGCCGCCGCAAACAGACGACTACGGCGCAACCTTGACAGGCCTGTTCCAGATCGCCGTCACGGCTCTGAAGCGAGGGCCTTGAAGGGTTTACGTCCAGTTGAGCTGCACGTCCCCGCAGAGTGCGCTCCCCTGGGTTGCAGCTGCACCTGCGTGGGACTGTGCGCTCCTGGAAGGCCGCATGCTTTCGAGTTGAGCTGCACGTCCCCGCAGAGTGCGCTCCCCTGTCACAGGGTTGCAGCTGCACCTGCGTGGGACTGTGCGCTCCTCGAAAGCCGCATGCACCCGAGTTGAGCTGCACGTCCCCGCAGAGTGCGCTCCCCTGTCACAGGGTTGCAGCTGCACCTGCGTGGGACTGTGCGCTCCTCGCAAGCCGCATGCACCGTAGGCCTGTGCTGTGCGTAGAGAGCTGCGCCCCGCGGCACCCAGCTTAGAGAGACTGTGCAGCTCTGCCGCGCGGGTGCCCTGCTAAAAAGTACGGACATGCTCTTGCTTTGTAGCGTAAGGTTATATATATATATATATATATATATGTATATATATATATATATACATATATACATATATATATATATATATATATATATTTTGCGGTTATATAGAGGGTTTCCAACCTGGGGCCCTAAAGCCTGAACCCTCGAAAACCCTTATTAAGCCCTTAACCTTGAGGCCAAGAAATCTTTCGTGTGCGGCAACCCTCAACCCTAAATCAAACCCTAAACCCTAAAAAAACCTGCAAGGTTCTCGCATGCACAAACACTCACCTTGCTGCCGGCATGAGGCTTCCGGCTCCAGGTGTTTCGTCTCGAGCCTTTCTGCTGTGTCCGATGTCTCCAGTTGTGGAGCACGTTCGGGCCCTGGTGCAGCTTGCCAGCGTGCTCGGCGCGGAGTCCAACCTCCTGCAGCCGCACGTGTCGAAAGTGCTGCAGCTGACCTTGCGGGCACAGGACCTCACGCTAGAGCAGAGTCAAGAGGCCACGGTTCTGCTGAGAGACGCCAACCTGCCAGACAGCGTGAAGCAGCGTCTGCGCACAGCCTTGGAGGAACGTCTCCGGCTGCCAGCTGCCGGGAAGACTCCGCGCCAGAACTGGTGCAGTCTCCCGCTCTACCTGCCAGCAGCTCTCCTTCGCTGCCTCCTGAGCGATGATGGCATGTATGTGAAGCTGGACCTGCTCATGCAGTGGCTGCTGTCTTGCGGACTTCGCACGCCTACCGAACCGACCTTAGGTGTTGTGACCGTGTTGGTGAACTTGCGACAGAAACCGGCACTGCTCCACCCGCAGACGGCGCACGAGCTTTTCCTGAAGTGCAAGGCCCGTGCGCGCTCCTACTTAGACAAAGCAGCTCCGTGGAGCGGTGCTGTCATCCAGGAGCTCCCAGCAGACCCGCGCCTGCTCTCCTTTCCGAATGTCTTCTACACTACGCCTCCGCAGCAGATCATCTTACCTCCGATTTTTAGCGATTTCCTTCTGTTGCAGAATGGTTTGCCCTTGCGTTCTAACCACGCATTGCTGGGCAAGAAGGCTGCAGGGAAAGCCTCCAAGAGCTTCCTCTCCCTGCCTGCCCCTGCGCCGGCCGCCTTGCCAGCTGAACTTCAGCTGGCTCTGCCGGCGCCTTCAGGCGTGGCAGTGCCGCAGCCGCCACTGCAGGAGCTCGCCCTTCAAGTCCCGCAGCCGCCACGGCAGGAGCTCGCCCTTGAAGTCCCGCAGCCGCCACCCCAGGGCCTCGCTCTTGAAGTCCCTGTTTTGCTTGAGCAAGCTCCCGAGTGCCGTGCTGTCTTGACGCACGCAGACCTTGCGAAGCAGACTGCGGGGATAGGGAGCGGACACAGGGAGCCTGCTGTGCAGGAGTCGGTTGCAGCAGCCCCTGAAGTTGCAAGCAAGCCAGCTCCTTCAAGCGCTAAGCCACTCGTGCCTAAGCGGAGCTTGCTCGATTGCGTAGACGATCTGAAAAAGGCCCGGAAGCAAGCAAAACACGAGGAGCCAGCGAAGGCGGCCGAAGTGCCCGAAGACGCAAGTGCGCCTGTGCGTCGCTGCCGCCAGAAAACACCAGCGACGGCCAAGCCGAAGCCAGCACCGGCGCAGCAGAAGAAGAAGAAAAGCAAGAAGGACGGCGTTGCAGCCTTGGACCTGCCCGTGGCTGAAGCCAAAGTTGGGAAACGCGGGGCCGCCCAGAGCAAGCCGGCGGAAGCTCCGAGTCCGGAGCCAGAGGCCTGCCCGGTGGAGCGCATCAGTGTGGTGTATGCAGCCACCAAGAGCTACTTGTGCTCTGTGTCCGGCGGCAAGAAGCGGCTGCTGGTGTGTATCGAGGAGAGAATGCACAGCAAGCACAAAGAATGGATTGGACAGCTACATGAGCAGGGCAACAAGAAGGTGGGGCAAGAGCACGAAACGGTCAAGAAGTTGCTGCTGGACGGGCGGGCCCGGCTGCTGGCCAAGGCGCGGAAACCCTGACCGACGGAACAGACTGCCGCAAGGGAGCTGCCTTGAGTCACTGCATGTAGTTTTTTATTGCACCTGCCGAGAGGTAGGAAATTCAGGAGTCTCTCGTCGCAGTTTTTTACTTGCACCTGCCCAGAGGCATTAATTAGGCAAGGCTATCGTCGCCAAAGTCGTTCGTGTAATTCGTCTCTGTCTTCGGACCTGAGGTCCCTAGAAGTGAAAGGCTCCGCAGACTTGGAACAGCAAAAAAGACTGCGAGGCAGACTTGCAGGCCTCAGCTCTGAGTCTGGAGATGTTGCTCCTAAATCCTCAAGCCTTAAGGCCCAGCCCAGACACTACACGCACTCCCTGGGCCTCCAGTCTTAAGGCCCAGACCAGGCACTACACGCACTCCCCGGGCCTCCAGTCTTAAGGCCCAGCCCAGGCACTACACGCACTACGCGGCACTACGGGGGCCCAGGGTTCCAGAATCCTAGAGAGCTTCGAGCACTACAGCCTTCCAGGGTTCCAGGGCCAGGTCCGCACTACACCGCACTACGCCCTCCCCGGGTCTCCAATAGTGGCCCAGAGGTCCTGTAGACTGTGTGGCCCCTCTGGCTCGAATCCTGTTAGCAGTGTGCAGTTCTTGTCCCCGGGAGCTCCCTTTTCAGTCGTGCCTACAAAGCATGGCCAGCGCAAACCCCAGCACTCAGGACTCTGTGGATGGTACAGTATACACATGCCCCCAAGCAGCAGAATTAATCTTAGCTCTGAAAGGAGACGCAGCTCAACGCGGAGCAAGCTGGCGAAGAGGCTGCTTCCCAGTTCTGGCAAAGCGCAGGCTTGACGCCCCAAGCCGAGGTGCTGGAGGCTGCAGCCTTGCCGACCCAAGCCCCGGCCCTGGTCCCTGCGACAGAGCCTTCTGCACCGGTGCTGCAACTGCAAGTGCAGAAAGCTTGTGCCAAGTGCCGCAAGCTCTTTTCGCAAGCAGAAATGCACCAGAAGAGCAGGAACAGCTTCCTTTGCAGCAGCTGCAACAAGCTCAGCACTTTTCTCTGCCGCCTGGACCTGCCGGACTCGTTTCGGCAGCTCGGCAGCGACGAGATCTGTGCTTTCTACAGCAATGTCGCGAAGATGACATGTCCGGATGGCAAGCTCTGCCTGCAGAAGGTTTCGACGCAGGTCAACTTGGCCCTGGAGACGTCCGTCCAGAGCAGCTCAGCCTCCAGCGTGGGATCTGACTATCTGCCGCTGAGCGTCTGGGCTTTCCAAGGCTGGGACCCAAAGACCGTGGAGGCGGCAGGGATCGTCAAGGATGATCCGAAGCTCGGCAAGGTCTACAAGTTGGACATCTTGAATGAGACTAGGACGGAGAAGCAGTCCATCAAAAGAAAAGAAGGCACGACCGTGACGCTTCGTGCGAAGAAGACCAAGCGGAGCCGACCAAGTGGGGAAGAGGCAGTGGAGCTGGTTTCTTCCGACGACGAAGAGAAGGAAAACAAGGAGGACAAGGAAAGCAAGAAGCAGCGCAAGCTTCGGGAGAAGAAGCAGTTGAAGAGCTTTAAGAAGGACACGGCCACGGCGTCCCAAGCAGTGTCCTTGCTGAGCCCCTTGCTGCTGCAGGTGACCGACACCGGCAAGAAGGCCAAGGCCGAGGCGCTGCTTGCGGAAGCGAAGGAGTTCTTGAACAGCGGGGCCCTGGACAAGACCCTGTCTTTCGAGAAAGCACACGTCCTGACCGAGGCGAGTCTTCTGCGTGCCGAGGCAAAGCCTGCTGCGACGCCGAAGAGGCGCGCCAAGGCCAAGGCTAAAGGCAAGTCCCAGGGTGACGAGGAGTGAGTCGACGCTGCTTGCACGCGCTGTGCTTGCTGCGGCGGGAAGATGAGAGTGGGTCTCGTCTCTCCTGTCACCTCGGCAGACCTCAGAGCCGCGTTTTCGCTTTGATGCCTGCGCAGCATTGCCACGCCATCGGCCTTGCTCGCGGTATCAAAGCGCCAAGCAATTAAGTGCATACGTGGACCACTTTGGTGTGTCCTCTGAACACGCGACTGCTGACCAGAGGGATGCGCAAGAAAAAAAAACTTCCCAGCGCGAACTCCTCGACTCAGGTCGTTGTGAGATGTGAGTTTAGGATGAGACGCTTATTTTTTTGCAACATGTTCTTCTAGCATGGCATACATAGGAACACTGCTTGCGACGGCTCGAATTCAAAGGTTTGTGTAGGCGTCTTTTTGTTCTAGCTGCTCTTGCTCGGCTTGTCACCACATGCCGCTGTTCCGTGCTGCCCAGCGCGCCGCAGAGTGCGACCGGGTTCGCCTTTTCTACAGCAAGGGCCAGTACATGGACAACATGACACTAAATCATGCGTTCACGTTGCAAGCTAACTCCAAAACGGCGTCCACACTGCTCGGCGAGAACGAGCGGAAGCAGTACCGTCGCGTTACCTCCCCAGGCCCGTCTGAGGAAGCGACGACTGTTCGCTGGGAGCCGCCTGCAGCTCGCCAGGAGCCGACGAAGTCTGCAGCGCAGCTGCAAGGGACTCCGGACGCTGAGGGAAAGCACGCTGAGCTGTCGCCTCCTGCAGTAACACCAGCGAAGAGCACCTGTTCCAGCCTCCCTGCTACGCAGCCGCGGAGCCCCTGGGTCGAGAAGCTGCGGCTGCGCAAGGCGCTGAAAGCCGACAAGAAGCCGCGCAAGCAGGCCCGCTGCTCGACGAAGGAGTAAGCGGCTGCAGGTGATGCTGGAGAGTAGATGATCTGTAGATCTGTCTCTGCGGCATGGCCCGCAAAAATTACTGCAACAGGAAAGCCCGAGGCTGCAAAAGAATTGCTCTCACCCTGTCTTCCGTACCAGTTCCCTATTATAATATAGAATAAGGGGCCTCAAAATCGTATTCTTGTTAATAAGGCCCCTGTTTTGCCCTCTAAGATCCTGCTCAGCCTAAAGGAGACTCGAGCTTTTGCATTGCCTTCTTTCTGGCCAGCTAACTCCTGTTCGTCTGTGCTGCTCAAATACATATAGAAGGCTCGATGTAGTGAGTCCTGTGCACAGCCATGGGCAAGCGAGCCGCCGTCACCACGAAAGCAGCGGCTCAGAGCCTGCGGCGAGCCAGTGCTTCCACGTACCATGCGGCAGAAGCGCTGGGCTGCACTCGGGAGGCGCTGCGACAAGCAACGAAGCGCCTCACGAAACCTGAGACAACCTTCCGAATAGTTCCTTACGGTGAAGACCGCATAGCCATGGCTAGCGTGCCCCGGCTGCTGCAATGCCTCTGCGCAGAGGTGCCGCCGCTGGCGGAGGCACTGTGTGCTGCGCAACGCAAGGCAGCGCAGCATCCGCTGAACCTCGTGCTCTCTTTTGACGAAACAACCGCTGGGAATGTGCTAGCTCCGGACCCACTGAAAAAAAGCTGCTTGCTTTATGCTGCGGTGAAAGAGCTGGGCACCCAAGCAGCTGCACTGTGGCTGCCTGTCGTTGTCATCGGCACAGACGTCCTTAAGAACCAGATGCAAGGAAGCCTTGGCCCCGTGCTGCGGCAATTCCTTCGCTTCGCCGCCGAAGACAAGCTGGAAGAGGGATGCCTCATAGAGCCACTCAGCACATCCGGAGCTTGCTGTTCTTCACACCTTTTTTTTGTGCCACTTTTGAGTATAGCCCGACTCCGAAAATCAGGTAAGCCCAGAATATAGTATTACATATATTGCAACTCAGGTGCTCCAGCAGCTTCTTTCTCCGAATGAAGCTCAGCGCTGTCATCGCGGACGGAGAAGCTATTCGCCAGGCACTGAACTGCAAAGGCGCTTCGGGCCTGAAGCCATGCCATGTTTGCAAGAATGTGCTCATGAAAGGTCATCCTCTTCTACAAGCAGCTCACGTTGACGGATACGTCTGCGACATCTGCTCGGCCGAAGTGGAGAAGTGGGACCCGATCGGTGATGATGAACTCTTCAACTGGTGTGACTTGCAGCATGCACGGAAAGGCCAGATATCCGCCAGTCTCTTTGCCGAGGAAGAGATGCTCAGCGGAATAGCGTACAACCCCGAAGGGTTGCTTCAAGATGACTTTGCGAGGAGACTCCATGTTTCGGCCCTTGTAAACCCGACGCGAAAACCTGGTGAATAAACCCTAAACCCTGACATCATGCTCTTCATAACTTAGGGAATGGTTTAAGGATGTGAGGGTCTGATATGCAAGAAAGATTCTTCGGTTTCTCGTAAAAGCCCTTGCTGCATGACACGAGAAACTTACCCACTTGGTCTGTGCAGGAGACAACTCCCGCCGAGCAAGTTTTTCTTCGACGTTTTGCACGTGTACTACACGGCCGGAGGCTGTGCAGCAGTGGAGATGGCAGCCATCATCCACGAGGCAGAGCGAGTGCTGCAGCTATCTGCAGACTCATTGGCTTCGCTCCTGGAAGAGTTGCCATGGCAAGTTCCAAGCCACGTGCTCGGATTGTCTGGCCCCCGCTCTAGAGCAAGACTCCTGCAGTCAGCGAGGCTCCCTGCGAAGTCCTACAAAGGAAAAGCAGCTCACGTCATGCAACTGCTACCCATGATCCCTGCCTTGCTGGAACTGTTGGATGACTGCGAAGGGCTCCTGAAGCCTTTGGCAAGCTTCGAAGCTTTGCTGAAGATTCACTGGGAACTCAGCAACCTGAAGCGATTGGAAACCATCCCCGACACTGCGAGACTGCAGCAGCTCCAGCTGGAGCACCACGGCCTCTGCATCGCTGCTTATGGTGAAGGAATAATGAAGCCAAAGCACCACTGGCGGCATCATGCAGCCAAGCAGATAGAAGCCTGGGGAGCCTACATCGATACAAGCGCTCCTGAGGCGAAACATCAAGTCTACAAGGGAGTTGCAAACAAGAACTTGGATCTCTTGGTGTCCTCACCAAAATGGTCCAAAGCAGTGTTGAGCCGCATGCTCTGCTCCTGCTTCGAGCAGTTGCAGACGCACTTCGACAGCCGTGCCAAGGTTTGCTGCGGAAAGGAAAAGAAGGTCCAATGGGGCCAGCAGACTCTCAGGACATTCCAAGCAGTCCAATGGAAAGGCTTGCACTGGAAGCCAGGTGATTTCCAGCTGGAGCCTTTCCCAGGCATGGTCGTGCGCTGCTGCGTGAGCTCTGCTGAAAAACCATTCCTGTTGCTGAGGGAATATGTCATGGAGCAGAAAACTCGTTTCAGCCAAGTCTTTCGCAGTACAGCTAGGGTGCGACAGTTGCACGACATATGTCGTTCCAAACTGGCTTCCTGGTGGCTCATCGAAGACGATGGTCTCTTGAGAGCTTTGCGGTAAAATGAAGGAGCGATTGCGCGCTGAAAGCTCCATGTAGTCTGTTCAATGCAGTCCATGTCCTCAACCTTTGAAAATCAATGATTTTCCTAGAAACAGATAAAAAAAGATAGAAAAAGATAAAAAAAGATAAAAAAAGATAGCAACAAATAAAAAAAGATAGCAAAAAATAAAACAGATTTAACTTATCTCTGTTTTATTTTTTTTTATCTCTCCTTTCTCTTTCTTTCTTACCTAAGTCAAACAACCCACTGTGTAGTGAGGCGTTCGAACACCGCGTCACATGGTGAGACACCCAAGGTACTGACCTTATAAGGCCCAGGGAAGTCCCGGGCCAATAAGGTCCACAGCTCCCGATCGGCTCTAACAACCTGAGCAGCGCCAATGGCTGAATAGCCCGGGGGAGGCGCTTCGCACATGGCCTCCATGAGTGTTGTGACCCACTTCTGGTGAATGTCCCATGACAACAACCGACATTGATCAAAGGCGACCCCGCGCCTCATGAGCGCCCACTGCAAGCGAAGTTCAGTGCTAGTATCAGCTTTGGCAGGCTCATGCGGCACAACAACAAGAGACTGTTTCTCAAGCGATATAGCCGATTTGGCCTCGACCTTCGAGACAGACTGAATCTCAGCATCACGCTTAGAGCACTTGCTGGGTGATATCCAAGTCATGACTGAAGTTTCATAGATTGTGTTCGCCATGTCGCACAGTGCATGGCTGGGGCACAACTCACCAGTCAGATCTAAACCCCTCAGACGCCTTTGTTGAGCTGACAACCGGGCCCGGCGCTCAGCCGGAGGAATTCGCTTGATGTTCTGTGCACCCTCAGGGCCCTCGGTCCCTGTGACATGCTCCTTAAGTACCGCAACAACAAAAGCAGTGGCTTCGAAGTGCAAAGTGCGAAGATCAGCGACCTGAGACAGCGACGGCGCGCCAACAAACACTTCTGAAGCAAAACTCTGAAAATCAGCTTCACTTGGTGCAGTCTGCGGAGTGCCGATGGCGAAGGCGAGTTTGCGGAAAGATTTGATGTTCTTTGCCTCAAGAAGGGTTCGGAGTCCAGGCGCGATTTCATCGCACCGCTGGAAAAAGGCAGCTTCAGACTCGACCAGCGACATGATGCGGGTATATCGCTTCACTCTACTCGAGCCCAGGAGCTGAGACACCAGCGCTCGCTCGAGCATTCTTGCAGTCGCTATCCGTGCACTCCAGGTCCATCAATTCTTTTCCAAGCAGCTCGCCCAATACGCCTGTGCGCGACATTGGCAGCGCCAGAAGACTCGAACCGGTGGCAGCCGCACTCCCAAGGTCCGGATCCCGACGTGGGGCCCACCCTCGGGCCCAGCAGCATTGCCAAGAAAACTCACCACAGCTTGCGTTTGGCCTGCACTCCCGCTAAAGTGGATCCATACGCAAGCTCCAGGCGATCACAGAAAATCGGCACGACTTGCTAAAGGGCCCACGCCTCTGACGAGGCGACTCCCTTTGCACGCCCTCTGCCTCGGACACAGAAGCCCCTGGCCTGTGATGTGTCAGACATCAGATCCGAAGGGCATCTCCTGTCCATCACATCAATCACCTCCTGTGCGAGCCTCCTCTCCAGTTGCCCTTCGACACTGAGAGCAGACCGAGGTGTCGAAACGTACAGTCGTGGGCCTGATGTGCAAAGGTCCGACCATACGACCACATTCGAGCACTCGCTCGTTGCCCTCCTTAATGAGATGCAACATGCGAGTCTTTTTATGCTGGAGAAAACGATATCCTTCAGGAGCACATGGAACTGTCAGCTTACGAACTCGAGGCACTTCCAAATCCGAAGATTCGCTACCGGAGCTGTCAGTGGTGACATGCTCGGAATCCGCAGCTCGCTCGGTAGCAGCTGCCTCTTGTTCGTCTTCTGATCCCAAGATTTCAACAGTTCCATCTCCTAGATCGCCGGTGAGCTCAGCCTTGACAGCCTCTGGCCCAACGCTAGCGCGAGAATCACCCGTCTCAGGCCGATTCTCTCCTGCGAGAGGTGCATGCTCTAGAATCTCACGTGCTGGACCCCTGAGACGCCCAGACCGCGTGCTGTCAGGGAGGTAAAAACCACTCCTGATTTCCTCAAGCATCACTTCCAGCAGTCGCAAGCTCCTTGCAGCACCATCCCGAGAGTACACAAGTGCCATGCGACCCGGCACCGAATGGTACCCCATCTGGAGCCTGTCTTCAATGGAATACCCACGCTTAGCAGCCATAGAAAGCAGCGTTGCCTTGAAAGAGTGGCTTGTGATCCTGTTGGGACAGCCTTCAGCAGGTTCACAATCCAGGAGGCGACGAACCCACTTCCCAGCCTCCGAAGATGAAAGCGGTCTGCTGAGAGGTTTTCCCTCTTGATCCGGAGCAGGCATTAGACAGTGACCTGGCGGATTGTCTATGCCCAACTGCTTCCGGACTCGCATCCAAGTGGAGACCCACTCTTTGTCAGCGACGCCCAAGGCAATGGACACCATTGGTAAAAACTGGAAGCGGTGCTGAGATGAATGCATCGTCTTATGACTCGCCACCGTTATTTCCAAGTACGCGATGTTTCCTAGGGTGTCATAATCCAGGGCCCACCTGCACACATGCTGTGCGTCGCCCCACCTACTGCGGGCGTAGGCCACACAAAGTGTGGCACCACAGAACAATCTGTTCCACGGGTCCTCATCTTCGCTGTCAAGCCTCCTGTGGAGCTCCAACAGTTGCTGGACCGTGAGCGGTTGGGCCTGCTTCCTGTCCCTCGGCTCATCCGATTTAGTGGCGCCCAAACAACGACGGCTAGCAGTAGCAAGCTCAAGCCCTGCCACACCGAGCACGAACCTCGAAAAGACAATGGCTTCGTGAAAACCTTTCAGCCTGGATGCAGGAGCTCCTAGGGCCCTTTCCGCTCGAAGGAATTCGTAGAAAAGCTTCTCACTGATAGGATAGGCTGGCGCGCCTTTCTCCTGCAACCAATTGACTTTCGCCAAAGCCCGGGCCCTCTTGAGCAGCGTCGATGGTGCACGACCACGGAAGAAGTCTTCCAGCAGCCCAATCTGCCCTTGCACAGATTCTTCCTCGCACAGCATCCGCCTCACCTCGCAGTCGACATCCCAACGAAGAATCGTGTGGAGCCACAGCTTAACGGATCTGTCGAAATCAAGAGTCCTCTGCTCTTCCCAAGAGACATCCAAAGACTGCGACACAACAGCCATGAAGACTCTGTCTTGCCGAGGCTTCGAAGACAGTGAAAATAAACCCGAAGAAGTAGGCACTAAGGACTCCTCTGGTTGGCCAATAGTCGGCTGCACAGGTCTGTTGAAAGCAGGTGTCACCTGCTGCAACCAGTCACCTGAAGCAGCAGCACCAAACAGCGCACTCCAGACCCCTGATTCCCATGGAAGCGACAGTGTAGCCTTCGCCGGTACCGCATGAAAAGCAGCCGACAGAGCAGTCTGATACCCTTCAGCAGTAACCCGAGGCGAGGCTGCAGGTACTGAGGGATGCAGTTCCACAAGACTCCACTGGGATTGCTTATGATGGCTCTCAACATCGGATGATGGGAAGTCCTCGGCAACTTGCTGGTACCATTGCACCTCAGCACTGGCATCGTCCTCAGAAGCAGCAGCCTCAACTCCAAGTTGAGAAGCATCTTCAGACACTGCCTGGAAGTCTCCACCCGAGTCCAGCAGAAGCCAAGGGTCGGGAGTCCGCCTCTCAGCCTCATCACAATCCTGATTGGCATGACTAAGCTGATCACCGAAGTCTCCCCCATCAATCTGAAGATCAGCGGGAAACTCGTGCTCCAAGGCAGCCAGGTCGGCATCCTCCAACACGGAGGGGTCCATGGTCGGGCAGGCAGACACAAGAATGGCAGGAGTGGCACTGATACAATTGCACAGAAGCCAAAGCAGAGCATAAGGGCTTGTGGACGACCTTCACTGCACGAAGCATGAGCCTTGCAAGAAGACAGAGTCCTGCAATTTCACGACGCACAGCAGACATCTCAGGTGTGCGTGACACAGCCCTATGGCGAGCGGTATGGCTGAAAATTGTGGAAACTCAGCTGGCAGGATCGATCCCTAAGAGGCGCTCAAGAGCGCCAACACGGCGCATGAGGCTGGTATGGAACCGAGGTCCCACAATGTGGCCAGTCGCATCTTCCAACATGTCGATTCTGCCACCAAGTGCCACACACGTAGACTCGAGGCTACGAAATCGTTTAGAAACAGAAAGAGCGTCATCAGAAAAAGGAGGCTCATGAGACAAAACAGGCTCCAATGGCGTGAAAGCAAAAGCTCTCGTGGATGCATCAGCGCTGAATGGTCCACAGAGGGCGCGCCGCTGGTTGGGAGTCAAAGAATTGAAGACCTCCAACCACGGGCGTTCAACGCCTAAGTCGCCACTTGAGCTCCCCACGATGGAAATGTCCTCAGAGGAACCAGAGCGCTCCCACACCAAGCTAGTGGCCAGCTCGGCGTATGGTTCCTGACAGCCCATCATATCGCAGTCAAAGCGTGCTCGAGCATCGTGGTCAACAAGAGACCTGGTGCGATCAGCCTGAGGATGCAAAGCGGTATGCTTCCAGAGATTAGCCCGAGTGAGCTGACAAGAAGAATCAGCCACTGTAGCTCCACCGAGATCGGCAGAAGTGGTGGCCATTCTGATGTCGAAAGCACGAAGCGGTTTAATGACTGCAAATGGGCTCGAGAAAAAGAGCTAGAATGAAGTTTTGCAAAGTCGACATAAAGAGATCGGCAAAACTGGCCCTTCAATTTTAAGAAGTCGCAGCATTCTCAAGTCGACGTGTAAAGTCTGGGAGGCCTGACACTGTAATTGCCTGGCGACAGGGCAGAGCCGAGATTATCGGTCAAGTCCTGCAAAGCAATTTCGAAGCGACCTAACCAGCTCAGTGACACGGAGCTCCAGACTCGAGACTCGATCGGCAAGCCCGAAAAAGGCTCGAGAGATCCCTGTGATCTCGCGTTGAAGAGTTTCTC